ACAGACAAAGATAACAGTGTGGGGATGATGGAAGGGCTACCTGATGATGGAAAGCTGAGTTTATGTTAAATTGGATTTATTAAATAATGTAAAAACCATGTGGACATACTCATACAAACATGAAGGGTAAGAAATATATGTATTCCTCACTTCAATGCCACTCCAATCCTCTTCTTTGGCTTAATTTGGGGCATTGAAGTCACATTCAACTGGAAAAGCTCAGGCAGCAGAGCAGCTCTGTATGGCTCAAGGCTGCCAGGGATATGAGGAATTCTATATTGGATAAAGAAAAGGAGCCAGATTCTCCACTCCAAGGGACCAAATTCCAGCTACTTTTGAATACTCCTAACCTGAGTATGTCAATGAGCCTAATCACATGTTAGTGGAATTCCTTTTCAAATCAGGGTCTGCACTCAAGGATATACTTCAGTCACTCTAGTTAACTCTGTTTATATTTCCCCCTCTTTCCCTCTAGGTAAGGGTCTTTTCTCTCTTTCATGATTTCTCTCACAAGTTTGTTGTAATAATCAATGAGACATCATCAGTACCCTAGACAGACAACGTAGCCTCAGCCTGGCCCAAAGTCACATTTGACTCCTCTCTCTTCTTCATGATGATAAAAATAAATGACATCAGTAAAGCACTTTATATACATAATCTTATTTGACCCTCATAACAACCTTGTTGGTTCAGTGATGCAGATACACAGATGAGGAGACCTAAGCTCAGAAAACTTGGTTTGCATAGATGACGAATGCCAGAGGCAGGGTTCAAACCCTGCTAACTCCAAGTCCAAAACTCTTTTCTTTATATCATGCTGATGATCAGTTATCAGGTCTAAAACTACAGTATCTCTCATATTTACCACCCCCTTTTCTCCACCAACATGGCCACTATCACGATTTAGACCTTTATCAGCTTTTGCCTAGATTAATGGAAGGGCCTTCTAGTTGGTATTGTTGCTTTCTGTTTTTTCCCCTCAGGTCCATCTTCCATACAATTGCAAAAATAATCTTCCAAAGGCAGAGGGTGCTCAAAAGCTTCTGTGGATACTGACTAAAATAAAATACAAGTTCAGTCCAGAATTAAAGACCCTTTATGTTCTACACTAATCTGCCTCTCTATAGCTTTTTTCAGATGACTCTTGTCACGAACTTTTTGCCGCAGGCAAATTAGCCTACTAACTATTCTCTGAACATGGCACATTATCTCTAATTTTTGCACTTACACAGGCTGTTCCTCATACCTGGAATGGATTCCTTCACCATCACTTCTTTAGATCCTTAGCGTCCTTCACAGACATAATTAGCAATTTGGGGGTTCAAGGCACATGGTACAAAAATGAGATCTAGTGAAATCAGCACTAAAGATTCCCTCCAATAAATTCTTAGCAGGGGTAGGGGAGGAGACCCCAGAACCCTATGTCTGCAAAAGGAGAAGGACATTCGAGCACTGGTCAGAGTGAGGGGAGACCTAGACTTACAAGTGGCCTTGTAGCTTCTAGTAGCTTCCTAGTTTCACTAATTCTTCTTCTTCTTCTTCTTCTTCTTCTTCTTCTTCTTCTTCTTCTTCTTCTTCTTCTTCTTCTTCTCCTTCTCCTTCTCCTTCTCCTTCTCCTTCTCCTTCTCCTTCTCCTTCTCCTTCTCCTTCTCCTTCTCCTTCTCCTTCTCCTTCTTCTTCTTCTTCGAAATGGGGTTAAGTGACACAGCTAGTATCAAGTGCCTGAGGCCACATTTGAATTCAGATCCTCCTGACTCCAGGGCCAGTGCTATATCCACTGCTCCACCTAGCTGCCCTGGCTGATTAGTTTCTACACTGATAAAAAAAAAAATGAAAGTATTATCAAAATGTAATAAATTTTTAAATAGAAAAGTCTTTAAATACCATTATTTTTGATTGTCACGTATTTTGTTATCATACAGTAAAACTCCAATTGTTGCTGTACAGTCATTCAGTTGAACGTCATAGAACGTCAGGCTCTTCTATCTTCCACTATCTCTCAAAGCCTGTCCAAATTCACGTTCAGTATTTCCATGATACAATATATCCCCCTAGTTATAGGTCTGGCTTATGTCAAGGCTCACAGCAGGTACCTTCTCTGGTTCTTCCCCACCTCCACTGCCTGCTCCCTGTTACACTCTCTCCCCAGATTACCTCCTGTTTTCTTATTTGTGTACTGTACATGCTAGATTACCTCCAGGAGAATGTAAGCTCCTTGAGAGCACAGCTTGTTTTGTTTTTGTCTTTGGATTCTCTGCATTTTTAATGTTACACAGAAAACAGGCATTTAAGATTTATTGAATTGAATTGCTGAATAAATACAAGTCAAATCTTACATAAATGCTTTGAAGTTTACAAAGCCCTTTACATATATTATCTTATTTGAGATTATAGACATTCAAAGAACTTTAAAGGGGAAAAGGACCTTAGAGATAATACTCATTTTACAGATGACAAACATGTGGTGGTAAAAGTCTTTTGGGCAACTAGGTGATACAGTGAATAGAGTGCTGGACCTGGAATGAGGAAGATGAGTCCAAATCTGGCCTCAGACACTTAGTAGACCCTGGGCAAGTGAGCTCAATTTCCTTAATTCTAAAATGAGACGGAAAATTACTCCTGTATCTTTGCCAAGAAAACCCCAAAAAGGGTCACGAAGAGTTGGACGCCATTGAAAATGACTAAACAACAAAAAAAGTATTTCAAGTTTAAGACACAGTTTAGTCCTGGTTCTGACACTAGATATGGGACCCTGCACAAATCAGTAAACTCCTGGGATACAGTGGTGGAAGGAAAGGCCTTCAAGTCAGAGACTTTGGGTTCAAATCTTGACTCTGCTTCATCTTACCTGTGTGACCTTGGGCAAGTCATTTCATTTATTGGGGTCAGACAGAGACTAGCTTTAAATCTGAGTATTTATTTCCTCTTCTACAAATTGGAATGCTAATATGCTTCTTTTCTCATCATTTGCTGTAAGCATAGTATTACGGAAAAATCAATTATTATTTTTATTATTCTGGTACCTAATACAAAGTCTTGTACCAAAGTGGGTGCTTAATAAGTATTTGTTAAATTGAATTGCAAGTAAAGAATCCGTAGTATAGAAAACAAAACAGCTGCTTCCAGGCAGCAGCAGAATTTCCTCATTCAATAAGTCCTAACGCAAAAGACAAACACAGAGCTGGTAAACACTCCTAGCAGTCAGTACAAAAGTACTGATAACAGAAAATTAGCTCTTTAAAAAAAAATTTCTCATAGCACTAAATGATTGAGAACTGAGGTAACACAGACAGTGAAGGAGATTGGCAACTTATCATTTAAAATGATCATAATTCAAAGATGTCAGAGATTGTTTTCTCTAGGGTGTTGTGTCTCTGTCTGTGTGTTGCTCTCCCTCAGTGGCTGCCTCACCATTTCCCCTAGCGTTTAAGAAAATGACACTTGACTATCCCATAGGCCAGAAATTTATTTAAAAGACAGTTCAAATAGATGCTTTCCCTTCCCAGATGTTTCCACTCCGGATGCTCCTGCATTAGCTAGACAGCATGGTATGGTGGAAAGAATGCTGAACTTAAAGAGTAAAGAGACCAGTGTTTCATACTCATGCATAACATTGCTAGCTGTGAGACCATGGGCAAATCATTTTACCTCTCTCATTTTTAAAATGAGAATAATACTTGCTCCAACCATCCCAACCCCCTACACACACACACACACACACACACACACACACACACACACACACACACACAGAGAAGCACACCATTGTGCGGAAAATGATTTGTAAATTTGTAAACCTTAAAGCATTATGGAAATGTGAAAATTCTTATCCCCATAAGGGATGAAGGCAAAAGAAATACTCTATTCCCTTGCTGTAGGGGAAATAATTAAAGGGAGGAAGTGGGCATGAAGACTGTAGAGAACAGATGAAATCTGCTAAATGGTTATGGCATGTTTTTCTAGGTTATTGGTAAAATGACAAGACATTGCCTCTCTGAAAGGGCTGCCTGGGTGTCAAACTTCCCAACATTCGCATTGTCAGTCCAGAAGCATTTACTCAGTGCTTACCATAATGTCCTGCACTCTGCTAAGCACCAGGGATACAAATTAAAGCAGACAGACATTTGCTCTCAAGGACCTTACATTCTAATAAAAGAATGCTGCAGTTTAGCATTGGGAAAAGAACTACATATGAGATTTCATTGGTATAAAGATCTCTCACAGGAGGAAACTCACACCATCAAAGCAAATCGCCACTTTCTTGGCAACTTAAGTAGAGTGGGAGGTGCCTAGAGCACTGAGAGATTAGGGTTGCACCTCCAGTATAAATCAAAGGTGGGACTTTCAGGAAACAAGCATTTATTAAGCACCTACTATGTGCCAGGCACTGTTCTAAGTCTTTTATAAATATTATCACATTTGATCTTCACAACAACCCTGGGACATGGATGCTATTATTATTTTCCCCATTTTACAGTTTAAGAAACTGAGGCAAACAGAGGCTAAGTGACTTGTCCAGGGTCAACACAGCCAGTAAGTGTCTGAGGCTGGATTTGAACTCTAGGCTTACCTAACTCCAGATGCAGTGCTCTCTACCCACCACTGCACCACCAAGCAGCGTCTAATACTTGCACGCAAAGTATTCCTGGTTCTCTAACCCCCAACACCAGTATGTTGCAACATAGCCATACATCCAGCGTTCTCCACTGTAAGGTCTCAACCTCAGCTTCTCTGGGTAAGACCACACTTGACAGAAAGAGGCACTTGCACAAGTGACTAACACTGGGAGGCAGGGAACGCATGCGCACAAGTGTCCTCGAGCTCTCACCCTTCGCCGGCTCCTCCCCGACCCCGTTCTCCTTTCTTCATCTGGGATTGGCTGGTGGGTTCTCTTTTCCTCACCTCGGATTGGTTGGTGGGAGAAAAAAGCGCGTGGGGAAAGTAGCCTCAGGCAGTCCTGTGGAGGCGGACGGGAGCGAGGGGTGGTGAGGTGACCGACGCACACGCATCTGGCCTGCTCCCGGTCGCCCCCTCCCCCTTGCCCAGCCGCACTCAATGGCTTTTGCACTCATGGGCCCCGAGGCTTCTTTCTTCAGGGTTTTGGACCAGCACAGGGTCTCCCTGATCCAGTCCCTTAAGGAAGGCCCAGGGGAGGCCCCCCGTAAGGAGGCCTCGAGGTAGAGAATAAGGAGACCTGGGTTTAAAAAAAAAAAAGCGAGGAAGGGAGCTTCGCCGCTGAGGGCCGGCCCCCCTCTGCTGCGGCCTTCCCCCGCTGGAGCCTCTCCACCAACACCATTTGACTTCGAAGGGGACAAAGTAGCCCCCAGCACCTCCTGAATAGACTTAGGCTTCCTTAAAAAAAAAAAAAATTACCTCAGAGGTGGAATTCCCTCTGGACCGGGCTCTTTCTATTGCCCCTTTTGTCACGAAAAAGCTGTTTGGTGGCCTCTCTACGGGCTCTGAAATGCGCCTTCCCTCTGGTGCTTTCTGACTGGAGCCATTTCCTATTCCAGGCCACCTGGCTCCGCCTAGGTTACCGTCACTGACGTGTGCAGTCTTACGCGGCCTTAGCATCATTTGGGAACACTGTTATTGTGCTTTTGCATCTCATAACAATGGTTTTTGTTTTTGTTTTTCCTTTTTTTTCTGGTGAGATAGTAAATTGCTCATGCAATTAATCCCTTTGAGGGTGTATATCCTGTTTTAAAATAAAAATAAATGACTAATTCTAGCTCATTCTAAAAGACCTTAAGTTGTATACTTAAAAAAAAAAGTGACATCCAAGGAATTTATTTGGTTAGATCAAAGGGAAAATGGTGGCTGTGAGAGCTCCATAACTGGGATCCACCGTTTTATCTAATAATGTTTTTAAGTATTCTTGCAAGTTAAGACAATGTTCATATAAAATAAATATTTATAATCTTTGTAATGACAATGGGGCGTCTACAGTCGGTTGTTATCCGCCTGTATTATAACCATTATTTTTTCGAAGAGCTTTGTTGCCGCCATTCTCTATTGTATTTTCCTGGTTTATTAATGTCCTCACTCGAAGTGTTTATAAAGAAATAGCTCTTCTTTGAGAACATTTCCTTCAACAAAACAAAACAAAAACATATCTATCAGAATAATTCAATTTTGAACAGAATTAAAGTAGAGTGAGGGGGAAAGGAAACCTCTACTTTAAATTATCAATTTACTTGCTTGTATCTTAGAGAGGTTAACATAACTTGGTGGAAAATCGTAATAGGTTTTTAAAAACCAGTTCTTACAAGACGCTTGTCCTTTATTAGAAAGACTTGTACAGTTAATTTCCTAGGGCATGCTTTCCCAGTGACAATAATTAGGTTTCAGTGTAGGCTGAAATCTATTTTATCCATTTTATAATTTTTTACATTAGAAATTGAACTGATCTAACTTGTGACCAAAGTCAGTGTTACATCATTTGAATTTCAAGCTTACAAGTTTGTTTTGTGTTACATCATTTGAATTTCAAGCTTACAAGTTTGTTTTGGTAACAGAAAATTGAGGCAAACTGGAACTTCTCTAAAAAATACAACTATACTCATTTTTCTTCTCATAATGGTATTGTCAAGGTACAAAGGTAACACATTGGTTATCTATAGCTTTTCCATGAGTTAGTAGAAGAAATGTATATGTATATATATACATATATGCATAAACATGTACACAGTAAATAAAGTATTACTGAGATAATTTTAAAAATACTATTGATTTAGGGGAATCTGATGTTATATAGGCTAAAGTAATTATTACAATTGTCATATTAAATTATCATTTGTTCATAATTTCAGTTCTGAAGTTCTTGTATCTATAGAAAATATTATCCAAGACATCGTCACAAGCCTGGCAAGAAATGAAGCACCATTTCTTACACTAGACAACAGATCAAATTGGGAAAATATCAAGTGGGCATTGTTTGTATTTAAGTTTTAAATCAGTTTAAATGTCAATGCTAATATTGTTTTATTGAACTCTGTAATGAGGATGATTCTATATTCCCATAAATAATAAAAATCAGCAGATATTTTTTGTCATCTTGTTGGTCATTCCCATAATCAATTTGATTACAGGACCTGATTCTGTAGTTTTCTTTTTGAGGCTCTCTCAGTTGTTACTCTACTAAATCACATTAAAGTCCAAAAGAAAGGATTTTCATACTTTATAATTCAATTGATTGATTTCAAACTCACTTTATACAAAAGAGAATTCATTATTTTTCCCCAAAAAACTTCTTTTAAACTTTCCAGTTTCTGGTGAAGACCCTATATCCTTTTCATTCAGGTTTTCAATCTTAGCATTATCTTGACTTCCACTTTCTCCCTGATGCCACATGTCCAAACAGTTGCCAAATTTCACTATTTCTACTTCCACAACATCTCTGGCACCATTCCCTTTCTCTCTACTCACATGGCCACCACCTTAGGTCATATCCTCATCATCTCTCAGGTGGGCCATTAAAAAAGCATACTAATTGGTCTCCTTACCTATCTCTTCTGTCTCTTCAGTCCATCTTTCATACATCTGTCAAAGTGATTTTCCTGTAGAGCAGGTACAACCATATCACTCTCTTACTCAATAAATTCAAATGGCTCCCTCTTGCCTCTAGGGTGAAATACAAATGCCTCAGTTTGATTTTTAAAGCCTTTTTACAACCTGGCCCCAACTTCGTACCTTTGTACTGGTTGCTTTTCCCCCATGCCTGGAATACAACTAACTCCTCTTTACTTCTGTCTCTTTGCAAATACTTTGTTTTTTTCAAAACTCAATTCAGATAGTACCTTCCAAAAGGATATTTTCCTGAGCTACTCAGCTACTAGTTCATTCTTCCCCTGTCTAATGATCTTTTATTTATTTTGCACAGAAGAATAGGAAATAGGTGTGTAACGTTACTGATATGTGGAAATCCTAGGTAAACAAACTCCCTCTACAATTCAGGACAGCACCTTCTCTGCTATTTAGGCATTTTCAAGAATTAGCCAACAGCATTGAAAAGTTAAGTGACTTGCCCAAGGTCACACAGCCAGTGTCACAGTAGAGAACTCAACGCAAGTCTTTGTGGCTTTAAGGCCAGCTCTCTAGCTACTATGCCACACTGCCTCTCTATTTCTCTCTCTTACTCTTTCTCCATATGTGTGAGTGTGTGTGTGTGTATACACACACACAATTTTTACACATATATGTGTATACACACACACACACACACATATATACATATTGTCTCCTCAGAGAGAATGTAATCTCTTTGAGAGTAGGGTGTGTTTCATTTTTGTCTTTTTATCCCCAAGTGCCTAGCATAATGCTTGTTGATTGATATTATACCAACAGAATAGAAATAATTGTTAAGTAACTGAAATTTCTGGTTTTCTATAATACAATGCAATTAATATAGTTCTTATAATTTTAAATTACTCATTTACTGTATTAAGTGATGCAACTTATACCACATTTTAGAAGCAGCTTTGATTCAGGAACTACTTTTTGTAACCGTTTTGACACCTGGCATGTTTTTACTGTGCTTGGTGTGTTCTGCCACCTTTAGGACACATTTGGTAGTTCAATTAGGTAACTGCAACAGTTGTGTACAGAATTGTATTTTTCAGGTAACTTTGGAAAGAAATTAATATACAATTTTCAATTAATATATATGATCATAAAATTAAAATATGGGGTGAACAAAACATTTAATAATACTGTATGTTATCCCATGGAAGTAATTTTTATGTAAATCTTTTGGAAATAGACTAAGGTCTATTCTACAAAGATTATACTTGGAATACACATTGAATTATGAAGTATAAATTTAACATTAGGATAGTTTTAGTGCTCATTTTGTAACCTAAATGTTTTATAGAGTAATACAATTAAGTATATTGACATTCCAAACTTCATTTTTTCCCCATTTTTGTTTTCCTTTAAAAAAAAATTACTAGATTTGAAGATTCTGTGGGTCTACAGATGATACCTCATTGTTCCACCAAAAAAATCAAAAGTGATTCAGCACAATCAGCCCAAAGATTTGGTAAAATGAATATTTTCTTAGATTTTTAGGGTTAATGAATAAGTAACATAGATTATATTATATTCTTTAATTTTTAATTCTTTTAATACACCACATTTTCCTGGAAGCAAATTTATTACAATTTCTTGTTGCCAATAACAATGAAAATAATTCTAGAACAAATGTATCCTCAGAATACATGATCTAATAGAAAATCAGTTTTATAGTTTTTGGTTTAAAAATCAAGTTCCTTCAATCTGATTCTTGGACCAACTCATCTTCCATTTAATTCTTCTTCGGGAACATATTTTAAAATGCTGTGGGAAATAACTGTGATGTGATATAGTTGAAATTAATTTAGCAAATGGTTGTCTTTTAGGTTATTGCATTTTCCTTATTCATATGGTTTTATTTTCAAAAGAAGGGCATTACAGTTCATGCTATTAACAATGCCTGAGGAATTGATAATGAATAGAATGAATAACACGTAGATTGATTTTACTTTCCAGCTCTAATTCTTAAAATATTATCTATGATCTACAAATTAGTCCAGAGCAACACTTATGCAACCAAGAGGTAACTATGTTATAATTATAAAACTACTCTTTAAAAAAATAACATGAGGATTTAATTGAATTAAAAATCGAGCCACTATGTTTTTTGTCCTGTGGATATCCTTTGGATACAACTTTTCATCCTTGTGTTTATGGAGTATTTAAATATTTTTGATGGCATAATGGTATATTCATTTAAGGAAATAGGACTATCAGTAGTGAAAACAAAATATTTTCTCTATATGTTCATTTCTTTAAAGTATCTTGTCCTCTGAAAAAAATAAGGTTAAAGATATTTTATTTTTGTAGAGACATATATTATACTGATATCCAACTATTTGGTAACCAGAGTGTTGTGGACAATATAATCAATGACATTTCCTGTATGTTAAAAGTACCAAGGAGATATCTGCATATTGTAAGTACCTTTTAAAATAATTTTCTTCTGTTTGATCAAAATGCTTCATCCCATTTGCATATGCAATATCTTAATTAGAATGAAAATTTCCTCAGTTGACATTTTCCTTTGTTAGATTGTTTTTATACCTAAATACAAAGGGATTAAAAATGTAATTTATGTTCATTATTCAGTCATGTTTTAATTTAAAGGAGAACTTTAAAAATACACTCTTGGTTATAATATAATGATACCATATTATTCTCCTATTGAAGTATAAACTATCCCCTGCCATGGAATTTATAAATATCCTTAGTAATGTCCAAATGGATATTGTTTTTTCCTTCACTTCTTAAATTGCTATATATATATATATATACATACTCACACACACACACATGTTTTCTTCTTCTGTGCTTCTTAAATTGTAAGATCTATGTATATATATTTAATGTATTTAACAGGCTTTCACAGTTTCTTATATACTCCTTGTTCATTGTATACTTAAATATTTGTTTGTTGATGATTGCTAATTTCATAATAAAAAAGACAATTTAAAAAAAACTGCAGCCTTACATTAAATATACATAGTATTGTAGGTGAATTCAGGGAACAACAAAACTGCATAAACTATATCGGCAAAAAATTGGATCAAATACGTTTAAATTTTATTTTTCCAGCTGTCTACTTCAAAGGGTCTAATTGCTGGCAATTTAAGCTACATTGAAGAAGATGGTACCAAAGTGAATTGTACCTGTTCAACGGTATTTATCAGTAATGCCTTAGCATGTTTTTGTCACACTTATATCATTTAAATTTTTTAGATTTTTAAAAACATTAAATGATTTGTGTTATTTCAGATTTTAAGAATGTTCTTTTGGAGTTTAAGATTTGAAACATAAAACTGGAAGAGGAAGATTAGGCTAATTTCTATTATATTGTCTTCACAATTTGTTTTGGTGAGATTCGAAATTTCAGTGGTAATGGTTATGTAATTTTTACCCAAATGTACATACATTATGCTTTTAAACATTTGTTATTCATTTAAGATAGACTATTTCCCTTTTTAGCACAAAATGTTGTAAAATCTTTATAATGTTTGGTAAAATACAGAAATACAAAGTCTGTATTTAAAACTGTAACTATAGTCTAGGCTTTTAAGATGCAGAAAACATGTAACAGCAAGGCATGGTCAGGTTACTAAGTTGGAGGTATAGATAATGAAGTTAAATAAATTTTTTCATATGAAGAATCTGTTCACCTTTGTGCCATTGGTTTCTGCTTTTTCATCCACACTAGGCAAGATGGAAAGAAATTATAAGCTGGGATGGGAAATAGCCTGAATCAAAGGAGTGAGCCATAAATCTCCTATGATTAATGGTTGGAGGGGGGGAAGGGACGAATGATTACCGTACAATTTTGGTTTTGGTTTTAATTACTAAATATGGCTATGCTTCCTTTTTATTTCAAATGACATCTCTCTATTTAGGCAGTTGCTGTGCCATCTAATATCCAAGGAATTAGAAGTATCCTTTTAGTAGAAAGTTAAGTTGAATTATTTTTTAAATGCGTAAGAAATCATCCATGTTTTAAAATTCATTTTTGCATGCATTTTTAATCAAAAATTAAATGAAGAAAACTATGGTTACTTCTGAATGTTTATTTATAGCATTAATTATTCAATTGATTATTAAAGTTGATATTCTTGCTTTCATCTTACCCATAATTTGGACTTAACATAGAAGATTTGGCTACAGATGCTAAGTTCCTACTAATTGTAGAAAAAGATGCAACATTTCAGCGACTCCTAGATGATAACTTCTGCAACAAACTATCTCCATGCATAATTATTACGGTATATTGATAGCTTTTTTTAAGTTCCAAGATTTTATCATGCTTTGCAAAGGTGGATTTTAATGTTTTAAGAGATCTCTATAGTTTCATCTTATTTATAGGATGTTTCCTCACATTCTACCCTGTATTACTCTTTGCTCTATATATGACTTATCACCCAAGTTGATTGTGAGCTCCTTGGGAATAGGGACAGTCATTCATAGTTTATCTGTAGAGTCTAGCAAAGTACCTTGCAAGTGGTAGGTGATTAATAAATTTTTGTTAAATTTAATGTGTTGAGTAAGTAGTTGTGATGGTAAACAGACATGTCCATTAAAGAAATGCATTTATATTTTAGCAAAACTTTCAGTCAAAATACTTTCTCCTTTTCCTTTTGGTCTGTATCTATGATATCATTGAAATAGGGAACTCCTGGTGAGGTATTCCCTCAACTAATGCAAGTTGACATTACCTCTGTAACTTCTAGTCTTTATGAATTATTTGGAGTACTAAGATGTTAATTTACTTGCTTAAACCAGGATAGGTCAGAGGCAAGATTGATATTCAAGTTGTCCTGACTTTGAAGCTGACCCTCTGTTTACCATTCCACACTGCCTCTCATTTTTAAATTATTACTGTAAGCTAAAACTACCACTATTTACTATAGTAAGTACCCACAGTGGATGGTCACTTTACCTCATTAAAAGAATATGTGTTCTAGGTATAACGTTCAGGTCGCCAGTCATGATATTGCATCATTTTCAGCTTTGGCCATTTATGACAAGGTTCTACTGCAGGCACGTATTTTAGATGGGCCACTACCATTATGTAGCTTTAGTGATCATTTCAATACTGAAATCACAAATAATGCCTTTCACTCACTGCTACACACAATTTTATGCACCATAATATATTTTAATATTAGTCAATTAGCATATTTTGCTGGGACACAGCCATGGCCCAGTATTAGGCTGAGCACTATGAAAATACAAAAAAATGATAAGTGGCACAGTGGATAGAGCGCTGGCCTTGGAATCAGGAAGACTCATCTTCCTGAGTTCAAATCTGGCCTCAGACACTTACTAGCTGTATGACCCTGGGCAAGTCATTTAATCCTGTTTGCCTCAGTTCCTAATCTGTCAAATGAGTTGGAGAAGGAAACGGCAAACCACTCCAGTATCCTTGCCAAGAAAAAGAGTTGGACAGGACTGAAATGACTCAACTACAGCAATACCTGCCCTTACAGAGCTTACAATCTAAATGGCGAGACAGATTCAGATGCATGAAATAGTCAGTGAATAATACAAAAGTACTAAAATTTGAGGTATAGACTGTGTAGGTGCTAGAAGAATTCAGAGATCAAAGAAAGGCTTCATGGAGGAGATAGGTTTTGAGTTTAGCATTGAAGGAGAGGTAAAATAATTTGGATAGAGGAAATAAGGAAATAACAAATAAAGGAATGGAATAGAGAATGAATATTCAGGGAACAACAAAGAAAATGACAATTTGAATGGATGGTTCGTTCTGAGAAATAATAAAAAATAAGGATGAATAAATTGGGTGAGGCAAACTTATGAAAGGCCTTGAAAACCAGGCAGTGTATTCTATATCATTTCATAGTATCAAAGATTTAGAACTGGAAGGAACTCTAGGAATTATATAATTCAACCCCTTCATTTTATATATATAGATTTAATATAATAGGAAACTGGCATCCACAAATTTTTTTATTGAAGTTTTAATCAGAGGAGTGACATGATTCAACTCAGCAAATATTATTAAGTACCCTTTGCATATTCTAGGTGCTATGTACAAAAAGACAAAAAAAAAGTTCCTGCCTTCAAGGAGATTAGGTCCTACTGGTAGGATATATGCTCACAAATAAATATAGTACACATATAAATGTATATGTATGTGTATACATTTATACCTATATATGTATTTTAATATATTCATATATATGAAAATTGAGGAAGTAAAAGAGAGAACATTAACATGAAGGGAGGGGTGGGAAAATGTGGGAGGAGGAGGATCAAGAAAACTTTATAAAGGATGTAGTGGTTAAAGAAGACAAGTATGGTGGTAGAATGGATAGGGAGAGGGAGAAGTTGAAGTCAGGGAGGCCATTAAGGGTGCAGTTGAAATAATCCAGGTGTGCTGTAAATCCAGATGAAGTCTTGAACTAATATGATAGCAATGGATATGGGAAAGAAGAGACAAATAGCAAGAGCTATTTCAAAGGAAAAAATGGCAGAACTTGGTGATGTTAAAAAAAGCAAAAATGATGCTAAAGATTTTTAGCCTATATCATTGGGAGAAAGAATGGTGGTGCCACTAAAAGACAAGGAAGTAGGAAACAGTGTTATTTTGAATCGGAAGATATGAATTTAATTGTGAACATATTTAATTTGAAGTGACAGTAAAAAAAATCCAAGGGCAAATATTTAGTGGCTAGAGATAAATTACTAGAATTTAGATGAAAAGACAGGACATTCAGATTTAAGAATCAGTTTAGAGTTGATAGTTGAAGCTATAAAAATCAAAGCTTTCCCCAAGGAAGAAAGTATAATAAGAAAAGGGCAGAGTTCTATATACTATATCTTTAGAAATACCATTACAGGGTGGTAAAAGTATGGTCAGAGAAGAATGAAAAGATAATTATTGCTTGTTCTTATGTGTAATTCTTAGGGCTTATGTTGCCTCAAATAATATACTGTGCTATATATAGGGGGTTTTTTTGTTTGTTTTTTTGGCAATTAGGATTAAGTGACTTGCCTAGGGTCACACAGCTAGTAAATGTCAAATATTTGGTCTGAGGTCAGATTTGAACTCAGGTCCTCCTGACTTCAGGGCTGGTGCTTTATCCACTGTACCACCTATATGTATAGGGCTTTTAACCTAGGGTCTGTGAACTTAAAAAATGTATAACTATATTTCAATGTAATTGGTATTCTTTATATTCTATGTATTTTGTCTTATGCATTAAAAATATTATTCTGAGAAGGGGACAATAGGGTTGACCAGACTGACAAAGGGTCCATGACACAAAAAAGTTAAGAACCCCTGTTGTAGAATATTGTGTCATTTTCATAGGCTACATAATTCCATGTTTTTAATAGTTGATAAATATATCAATAATACATAAAATGGCATAGATCCTTAGAGTTGTAAATGTAATTGAAATACAAATGGCCTTCTTTAAACCACTGATAAAGTTTGGGAGTTATTTTTTATGGGCCTAATTTTACTCTTACTAACAGATATTTAAATTTGTTCTTAGGGCAAAGGAGTACCAGATCTGAACACAAGACTTTTAGTCAAGAAACTATGGGATACATTTCATCTTCCCATTTTCACTCTTGTGGATGCCGATCCACATGGTAATTGACTAACTATATGAAAGCACAATAATAATTCCACCATATTCACAATAGAAATTTTTCTCCTATCTTTGGGAGGTTTTTTCTCTTTAAATTAGTTCTTTGAGAAGAAACTTACTGATTTTAATTCTTAAAGAATAATTGATTAAACGGAATTTAAAGAGCTAACGATAATTTGTGACAAGTCTCTATTGCTTTTCTCCTATTATATTCTGAGACTCAGATTGCCATATTGTCTTATGTGTAATATCCATGAAAATAAAATTTAAATATATATATATATATACTAAATGAAATCTGACAACACTGATTTTTAAAGTTAATTTTGTTTAACAGGCATAGAAATAATGTGCATCTATAAGTATGGATCTTTGGTAAGTATAGCCAGATATTTCCCTTATTACACTATTTATTTATTAAAATAATATACTAGTCACACTAAATAATTTCTTCATTGACATAGAATCACTGAGTTAAGCAAGAACTAGGAAATGTGCCAGACAGCCTAGCCATAGATTTTATGACTGAATTTATGTTTAATTTATTCTAATACCAGACACCACAGTAACCAGCACAACTATTAAATATATAGCATTAATATTAGACAAGAGGTATTATCTGTTATCAGGGTTGTAGTGAATTGGTAGAAATAATATTGTCTGGTCACAATAGAGCCATTTAGGATCCCATATCTTTTCTTTACAACCATAAGAAGAAATTGCCACTTTCACCAAATTGTCTGTGCTTGCAGTTTTATTATTAGAACTACCGAGATTAAGAAAATTATCATATATGATTTTACATTTGTAGTGTTTTTATTTACATGCCCAAATCCTTTTAAAATATACATTAATATGAAAAAGTGATAGAATAAGGAGAATCAAAGAAGGCAATAATGGAAGATAAAGTGAAAGAGGCTAGTTTTGTAGGAATAGACTAATAGACCCACAAATATTGAATACTATTCTTCTTAAATGGATTTTTAATCTAAAACCTTGCTGCTATTTCTGATACTATTATAAACTTGAGGGTAGGAGGCTGCATGACAGGGAGCATGTAGAAGACAAGAGTCATACAACATTACTACCAAGTCCTTCTAAATGTCATAATCATATGGATGTTAGAAAGGAAAACAAGGGGCAGCTAGGTGTTATAGTGGATAAAGCACTGGTTGTGGAGTCAGGAAGACCTGACTTCAAATTCAGACTCAGATACTTATTAGCCAGCTCCGATTGCCTCAAAAGAAAAAAGAGAAAGAAAGAAAGAAAGAAGAAAAGAAATGAAAATGGCAGAGTGCTAACATTTTCGGCAACTTTATCCTATTTTAATATATGTTTATCCTTTATTTTAGGCAATGTCTTTTGAAGCTCATAATCTCACTGTTCCAACTATTAGATGGCTTGGTCTTCTTCCCTCTGACATTGAAAGGTTAGCAATTTTAGCAGAAATGACCTTTTAAAAATAATTTTTCTGTAGATAGTATAGTATATAACAATAATTTGAACAAATCATTAAGAGAATTATTGAGAATTTTCCATTTTCATTCTCTACTTTGACTTTGAATTATTTTATATAATTTTGAATTAAACTGTTCATTGTTCCAGATTTACTTAAATTGAATGCTTAGGTAATATGGTATTCTGATTGAATGAATGCTTTAGTTATTTTAAAAGTTAATCGGATCTTTTGTTTCAACCCTGTAAGTTGAAAATCTTTCTAAAATGCATTAATGTACTTACCACATGCCATAAATTAAACTTAATTGAATGTTTATCAGTTTAATTAATCATCATTATATCTGTAATTCTATACGTGTAGAACCCCTAAGTCTGGATATTGGTCTAAATGAGTATTGGCCATAAGTCATAATTGTAGAAATTGCTTTTGTTTGTTTCTACTAAATCCCTGATAAGAGTTTATTTTCTTATGATTTTATTTTCTCATGACAGCAAAGTACAGAAAAATACAAATAAATGATAAATTAAGAACTATAGTAATGGATACCAGCAAATGGAGGTTTCACTTTATTGTATATGGCCAGAGTCAATGGGCACTTGATATGTGCTCTTTTAAAGAGGAATCATATATGTGGCTCAGAGGTCACATTAGCTCACGACACTCCTGAGTACAGCCAGAACCAGATTTAAATGTAGTTTCTATCTGATTTTAATGTATTAATATATTAACAACAATAAAAAAAGAAATATAAGGGGCAGCTAGGTGGTACAGTGGATAGAGCTTGGGCCTTGGAGTCAGGAGGACCTGAGTTCAGATCCAGTCTCAGACACTTGACACTTACTAGCTGTGTGACCCTGGGCAAGTCACTTAACCCCAATTGCCTCACCAGAAAAAGCAAAAAGAAAAAGAAAAAAAAAGAAATATATAAACATGTATCTTCCTAAGTCAAGATGCAGCCTGCAAGGATCCTTATGGATTGTTTAGCAGCCCCCAATTTCTATTCAAGTTTGACACCACTGCTCTATTGGATATATTTAGTATATTAATAAGCCATCAAAGAGTGCTTTTCCATATTTCCCTCTAAACATAGTGCTGTCTCCAGGGGAATGCGTGCCATACTTTAGCATCTTTAATTCTATCCCTAAATTTCTGAGCCTATAGATTCTTCAGAAACACACTTCTATCATGTTTTAATTTCTCTCCTTTTTTTCTCTTCCTTTTTCTCTTGCTTCTTTCATTTCTTTCAATAAAACCAGTGTCCTACTTTGTAGGACATGGACAGGGATTCTAAGAGAGATGCTACTCTGATTTCCACCCTCCATACCAAAGTTTTTGGCTACTTACATGTTCAATTTTAAAAAACGTTTATTTGGCCAAGATAATGCCTACTTTAATTATTTTAATTAGAAACTATACATTGCAGGGGCAGGGAGAAGAGTCCCCTAATTTTCTTATCTATTATTTCTGGGTATCACGTTTCATTCCTTCAAGGACGTTGAAATTCTTTTGCTATAGAGGCAAAATTTATTATCCTGGAGCCAACTTGATGATAAGCTTTTCTGAATTTGACTAGGCTAGTTATCTGATAGAGATACAGTATCATAAATACAATAATATAAAAACAATACATGATGTTATAAAAGAAATACAGTTGAACTATAAATACAAATTACAAAAAAAATTTTGCTTTCATTATTTTTTTTTTGCCTATTTTTTTCCAGACTAAATATACCAAAGGATACATTAATTCCGCTGACTAAACGGGACCAAATGAAACTTGATAGCATCCTAAAGCGACCTTATGTTACATGCCAACCATTTTGGAAAAAAGAAGTACAGAATTTATTTGATTATAAATTCAAATGTTTTATGTTATATTTAAATGTATTTTACTAACTTCAATAGAAAGAAAAAGTTGTTATAGTCTAACATACAATATTTAGAAAAGGTTTTCTGAGTTTTTGTAAGTATCAACTAGATATCACAATTGGTTTCTTTTAGGGGACTTTCAAAGATATTTGATAATGTATGATTGATGACATTTTTACATGATTCCTTTTATAAATACTGATAGGAATGAAGATAATTTTTCATTATCTTGATTGTATAGTCCTTCAAAAGTAATATTTAGGAATTTCAAGGCAAATCCTTTTTAGGAACGCTGATCTGACTTAATTATAAAAGAAACCAAAGCTGAGCTTTTCTTAACATAGGTGGTTTTAGCTCCCAGGGTTAATAAATAGCATGCTTTCCTCTGGAGGCTAGTATACATGGTTTGGGAACAGATCAGTCCAAACATGGAGGGAACACATTATTGATATGTCTTTACTACAGCAAAGGTGTTTAGTATGACTATGTTTTGTTTTCATCTACAGATGGAAATAATGGCAGAATTGAAAATGAAGGCAGAAATTCAAGCTTTGACATTTATTTCATCAGATTATCTTTCTCGAGTATACTTACCTAATAAATTACAATTTGGAGGATGGATATAAGACTGTCTTAGCAACTCTTAATAAAACAACTAACGTACAGACGCTATTTTGAGGTTCTGTTTTCTTGACAAAATACAAACTGAAATAAGCTTAAACTTATTCAATTTTCTTTAGACTTCTTTATCTTATTCAGCTTCATATTTATCTCCATTTTGTGAAAATATTGTAAAGAGATTATGATAAGTTAAAAAGAGAATATAAAGGGAATTCCATCTATAATTCTGGTATTTTGACTGTTGTTGAAATTATTAGGACAATAATCATTTTATGTACATCGCCAAAAGCTGAAGAAAAGATTTTATTTATTTTTCGTTTAGCTGTCTTTATTCTTCTTATTGGCCTTTTCGTATGAAAGAATAAATGTTTCTAAGTGTAAATCAAGTTTTTGCAAAGTAATTGTAAATTCTAGAGGATATTTTCTTAGTTAAAACTTCCTTCATCCTCTTATTTAGGGGTTACAGCCTCATCAAAAACCATATAATCCAGAAAGAATACCATGATTAAGTGTCAGGGCATGACCAGACTTATTTTCTCATATAATATGTATTTTATCAGAAAATTATTACTTAAAAAAACATTGAAGAGTTTATTGGATCATAACCAACATTTGAGTGATCTAAATTATCTTTAGTCTAGTTCAATACAATGAATAGAATAGGAAATCGATACAAATTACAAGTGTACCTATTCCTTCTAGGATAGAAATGATACGAACCTAGGAGGGAAGTGATCACTACCTCTTGGAGTTTGTAATAAGAGAAAGGAAAACCAAGCATATTTTGACATGCATCCTCAATTTTGGGAAAACAGATTTCAAAGGGCTCAGAGGAAAGATAGGTAATTAAAATTCTGCAGGGGAAGTCAGCCCAAGAGGTAATTCTGGTAGGCAGAGATAAGATGGCAGACTAATAGAAGCAGTACAGTGAACTTCCAACAAAACTTCTCCAAACAGATCTAGAAAACACACTAGACTAAGTCCTGATAGAGAAAACCAAGAAAAAGTCACAGTGAGATATATTTCCAGCCCAAGTTATCACAGAAAGACAGAGAGGTCTATGGACATTGGGGATGGGTCCTGGTGCTGAAGACACTAAAGTGCCCAGGGATAAGCTGTCCACAGGGGCAAGAAGGCATTCCAGACACCACAACCGAGACAGATGTTAACTGACAACTTTGTTGCCCACTCCCCAGTTTCAGGTCACAGATTCAAGGCATACACTAGTAGAAAAGATCTGCTCAGGTTCCCTCCAGCTCCAGCAGTCTCAGGCCCTAGGTTGTGTACTGAAAGAGAAACAAATTAATCAGAAGTGTAGCTCAGAATCCCAGAGCAAAGTGGAGGAAGTGGCAGACACTTAAACTTCACTCATCAAACTGGTCAAAGAAGGAAAGAGGTGGGTAAAAAAAAGAATACATTTCATTAAACAGGCATATAGGAGCAGAAAAGGAGGAGGGAAAAAAAGGGAATTGGAGGGATGATAAGCAAAGCAAACCCTAAGGAAGTACAAAATATTTATAGCTCTTTTTGAGGTTGTAAAGTATGGGAGTCTGAAGGGGTGCCCATAAACTGAAGAATGGTTGAACAAGTTATGATATATAAATGTGATTTAATATTATTGTGGTGAAAGAAATGAGGGGAATGGTTTCAGAGAAACCTGGGAAGATTGCAAAATTAAGTAAATAGAACCAGGAAAACAATTTATACAACAACAGTATGGTAAGAGAAACAACTATGAAAAAATTAGGAACTCTGATCAGTGCAATGACCATTCACAATTCCAGAGGACTCATGATGAAACATGCTACTCACCTCTTGATAGAAAGAAAAGGACTCAGAACTAAGAATGAGGACATATTTGGACAAATTTAGAAAACACACTAGATGGACCTGATGGGGAAAACCAAGAAAATTTGCTTTGCTTGACTATACATGTTTGTAACAGGGGTTTTGGTTTTCTTTCATTCTCATTGGGGGTAGGGACAGGGTGTGAGGAAGAAAAAGAGAAGGTAGATTTTTGCTGATTGAAATATATACACGCACATGCACACACACACACAAACATAAATTTTGAAGATAGAAAGGGAAGCAATTTCAATAAGGAGTGAAAAATAGAAGTTATCTAAGGAATTCTATATTGATACATAGACAATTCTGATCAATTTAGGTTTTAAAAGATATGTACAAGAGAGGCAACATGATAGAGTGAATAGAGAGACAGCGTCAAAGTCAGGAAGATATGGGTTCAAGTCCTGCCTCTGACACTTACTAGCTATGTGACTCTGGGTAAGTTACTTACTCTCTCAGTGTCCCAGGTAACTCTCTAAGATCATAAGTTACAGAGTAGATGCTGACCTGCCCTGGTAGAGAGAATTTTCCTATCAGCATTTCATAGGTCCAGTAAAAAAAAAAAGATACAAGCAAGGTAAGCAGCAGAAGATGAATACCAAAAAAGTGGTACAGTCCTGTAAGAATACTACCAAGAGTGCTAAACCTTCAAATGAGATTAGGTTGACAATGACCACATCTGGAACATTTGGTTCAGCTCTGGGTGCTACAGTTTTGGAATGACATTGATAAACTGGAATGTTTCCAGACGAGGGCAACCAGAATTTTGAAGGTCCATTAGTCCATATCATATGAAGGCTGTAAAGAAACTAGGTATGTTCAGACTGCAGAAGAGATTTGTTGAGGGGACGCGATAACTATGTTCAACTATTTGAAGGGTCATCACGTAGAAAGAGTTTAGGTTTGTTCTGCTTGGCCCAAGAGACGAGGACCAGGAACAACAGATGGAACAAGTAAATGTAAGGAATGTAAGGATAATTAGTTCTTTAATGTAAAGAAAATTTTCCTGAAAAGAGCTATTTAGGCATAGAGCAGACTATGTTGGGAAGTGGTGGGCCCCACTGTTTGAGGCTGTTCAAGCAAAGGCTGAATTACCACTTATCTGTAACCTTTTAGTGGGGATATTGATTGGACTAGCTGGCCATGGAGCACCTTTCAAGTTTGAAATTCTGCAATTCTCTAATGGTTTTCAGTCTTCAGAAATTTGAGGTCGCATGTCCTTGAAAAATTGAAGGCTGAACACATTTTTCAAAAGATGCAACTTCATATTACAATGATCCATTTCTCCTAGAATATAGTTTTCTGGGAACTTTCTTTTTTAGTGTAATTTTATTATTTTTCAATTTACAAAAAATCTGTTTTCTCTTTCTCTCACCTCCCCCCATTGGAAAAGAAAAAAGAAAGGAAACCAAAACCTTTGTAACAAATATATGTGCATAACCAAAACAAATTTCTGCATTGATCAAATTTATATAAATATAGATACAGATATTTCTCAATCAGCACCCTGATTCCATCACTTCTCAGCTAGGAGGTAAGAAGCATGCTTCATCATAAGGCCTCTGAAATTAACTTTTTCAAAGCTGCTTATCTTTACAGTCAGTTGAGTTAATTTATGTTTATTAAGCACCTGCAATGCACCAGGCACTGCACTAAGTACTAGGAATAAAGGAAAGATAAAGACAGTTCCTGATTTCAAAGAACTCATAGTCTAATAAGGGAGACAACACACAAACCATAATAGACAAACAAGCTACATATAGTATAAATTGGAAATAATTAACAGAAAGAAAGGATTTGAATTAAGGAAGATTGGTAAAAATCCCAGCTGTGGGAAAAAGAACTCACTATTGGACAAAAACTGTTGGGAAAACTAGAAAGCAGTCTGGCAGAAACTACTTACATGTTGTAAGAAAGACTTATATGAACTGATGCAAAGGGAGTGAGCAGAACCAAGAGAACAATTTATAAAATTTACACAATTTGTAACAAAATTACAACAATATTGTAAAGATAATCAACTCTGAAAGACTTAATAACTCTGAGCAGCATAAAGACCAACCACATTTCCAAAGGACTCATGATGAAATATGTTACCCCTCTCCAGATACAGAGTAAGCTACAGATAGAAGCCTATTTCTAGTAGTGGTGTTACTGGGTGAAAGGGATACACAGTTTAGCAGCTCTTTAGGCATAGTTCCAAATTACTTTCCAGAATGACTGTGTGAATTCACAAATCTACTAACAATGCATGAATGTACGTGTTTTTCCATCCTGGTGTGGGTCCTCATCACCTTATTCCTGGACTATTGCAACAGTGGGTTGGTCTGTTTCTTGGTCTAATAGTTGGTCTCCCTGCCTCAAATCTCTTCCCACTCCACTTCAAATTACATTCAGCTGTCAAATTAGTCTTTCACTGGCTGTAACTCATGCTGAGAATTCTCTCCACCTCTTAGATTCCCTGTTTTCCTTCAAGTCTCAGCTAAAGTTCTACCTTATACAAGAGGCCTTTCCTGATTCCCTTTAATATTAGTACTCTTCCCTTGTTGATTATCTCTTATTTATACTGTAAGTATCTTGTTTGTTCATATTTGTTTGCATGTTGTCTTTTTCATTAAATTGTAAGCTCCATCTTTTGCCCTTTTTTATATCCCCAGTGCTTTGCACAGTGCCTGGCACATAGTAGGCTCTTAATAAATGCTAGTTGACTGACTGACTCTTTGACTTGGAAGCTCTGGATTTTTACTATGATGTTCCTGGGAGTTTTTATTTTTATGTTTCTTTCAGGAAGTGACAAATGGCTCTTTTCTATTTTCTTTTTACCCTCTGGTTCCAACAGTTCTAGGCAGTTTTCTTTTGTTATTTCTTGAACTACAATGTTTAGGCTCTTTTATTGGTCATAATTTCAGATAGTCCATTGTTTTTTATTTTTTTATTTTATTTTCAGATTTTCATTCTTTCTCCTTCTCTCATCTCTCTTTCTCTCTCTCTTCCACATTAGAGATATCAAGAAAGACAAACATCTATGACAAACATGTATAGTTAGTCAAAACAAATTTCCATATAGCCTATATAAAAAAATTGTCTTAATCTGTACTCTGAGTCCATCACCTCTCTAGCAGGAAGCAAGCATGGATCAGCAAACTATACCCTGCAGGTCAAATGCAGCCTACCAACTGTTTTTGTCCAACTCATG